TATCATCATATCATATATCTGTCACACGACACAATGTACGCATGCAAAAATGGTAGGCATACACAGTCCAAAATGCACCCGGGGCAAAATGCGCGATTCAATTTTTCATAGCATTCCCGTTTTAAGTTTATAAATTTGACAAGCCACAGTGCTAGTTTTGTACTTAAACTAGTATTTTGGCACAAAAATCCTATAATTAAGAGTGGAATAGCTTTTAAAAACCAAATCGGCTGCTTTTCCCGGGGTGCATTTATTCCCTGTTCTACCCTACCAGGTATAGAAAGCTCTCTACTAAAAAATGGGGGAATCGGTTAAAGATGTCGTAACTTCAATTGAGATTGGGATGCTAAAGCCAAAAAGAAGAAGATATTGCTTATTTAATGAATGATAACCTTTTGTTTAAAAGTCGAAAAAAAAAGTTTTTGTTTACGTGGTTTTCCCAATATATACCTATCTCAACTGCGTGCAATTTATTGTGATGTTTAAGTTGTTGATAAAAAAAAAGTATATTTTCATTCCGATTCTCATGTACTTTTCCATGAATCCATAAAATTAGGCACATTCATTGAGGACCTCAAAATAAATCGAAATAACATTATACCGGGACACAAACATGACCCACTATTTAGTTGTATGTATTGTAAATATAAAAAGTTCGCGAGCATGTATCAAATATCGTATCATGTAGCAGATAGGAAATATCGCATCAGAAATGTTAATGCCATCAGCATACTCAAGTAAAAAGTGTTCTCGCATGTAAATCTAAAAGCACAACGCACAACTCCGTACATGAAAAGATCTTGTGAGCTAATCTCATGAGCTTCGTCTCATGAGACGTCGCATGCGATTAAGTACCATGAAACACACCCTTTAGGAAATGTATTGTGCTGCCAAGTCGTGTGTCGCACAACTTTTATGAGCATGTGAGATGCAACGTATTGGATGATCGTGATATAGAGAAAAATACCATGAATGCGAGATTATTGTTCGTGCGTCTCACAAGCGACGATACGCGCACTGGAAGCCTGCTTTTCAGTGCTCAACTTGTAAAATTTCTTCCTCTTATTCCTATTCGATCCTTATTTGGACCCTACCCGAGGTAATCCTTCTTGGATATCGATTTGGAAAATTACTTTTCGATCCTTCAGATTCTTATAGTAATCTGCTTGGAAGTCGATTTGGATAAAAATTTACTACCGCCATGGCGCCTAAGCGCAAAAGAAAAGGGCACACCCTTGAACCCCCTTCTGATGAAATTAATTTGAGCAATCAATTTGATTAGCTCACGGATGATGAGAATGATCCATCATCCAAGAAAAATTCTAGTAAACTTTCCCGGCTTAATGCCAAGGAGGAAAAGATTCCCCCTATTGTGATAACCACTTCCGATTTCCATGCTCTTCGCATGGAACTTTTGAATTTCGTGAAAGTTAAGTTTTCACTACAAATTGGACGTCGGGGTGAATGCCGTGTATTGGCTGAAACCTTGAAGTGGTTTAAATGTCTTCTCAAGTATCTTACTGAGAAGCAGCACAATTTTTTTACTTACGACACCAAAACTGAACGTGTGTTCAAGGTTGTCATGAAAGGACTACCCAGTGGTGAATCCCTGGATCAGATCAAAGATGAATTGACTAAATTACTTGGAGTTATGCCACTCCAAGTAATCAAAATGAAATTGAAATCTTGTCCTGGCGATTCGTGCAACGGGATTTCTAATGATTTTTATTTAGTTCACTTCAAGTCTAGTGAACTAAACAACCTTAAGGCCTTAGAAAAAGCTAGCCTTATGCTCCATGTCCGAGTGAAGTGGGAACACTTCAGGAAGACTGGAGGAAATTTCCAAAACCTCACCTAGTGCCGTAAGTGCCAGGGATGGGGTCACGGAACTAAAAATTGCTACATGCCAGCTAAATGCATGAATTGTGGTGATTCCTCTCATGCAAAGGACGACTGTCCTGTGAAGGAAGATCCTAAGAAATTTAAATGTTCAAATTGTTGTGAAAACCACAAATCCAATTTTTGGGAATGTAAGACTCGCAAAGCGATCTTACAATCTCGTTCTAAGCGACAGGTAGGAAACGCTCCACGTGCCCGACCAGGTACAAATTCCTCTGCTGTTAACAACGGCCAGCGAGGAACAAATTCTACATTTGTACCCGTAGGTACAATTATCACCCCTGGTTCAAATTTTTTATCTATACCTACTCCCCTCGCTGCTAACAATTTGAAAATTTAGACTTAGGAAGCATTACTGCTCCTAAAATGGATTTTTTTACAGAAATCATTAATTGATATGATTTCTGATATGCTTAAATATAACTCCATGTTTGATGCTATTCAACCTGGAGTAAAATTTGAAAAAAATAGTGTCATGACTTTGAAATTCAGTAATGGATTTTAAAGCATTAAATATTTTAAATTGGAATGCTCGATCTCTTAAAGATAATGAAGACGAGCTATTTTACTTTTTGAGAATGCATAACGTGCATATTGCCGTTATAACTGAAACGTTCCTTAAACCTGACCATAAGGTTAAGAAGGCCGCACATTATTTCATTTATAGAAATGATCGTCTTGATGGACCCTGTATTGGCGTTGCCATCATTGTTCATAGACGAATCAAACATAAAATTCTTTCTTCATTTGAGACCAAAGTTTTAGAAACTTTGAGAGTTTCTGTTGAAACAAAATTTGGACAACTTACGTTTATAGCTGCCTATTTGCCATTCCAATGCGTAGGCCAGCAAAATAATTTTCTCAAAGGTCTACATTCTTCATTATTGGTGTTTTTAATACAAAACACCGCTCATGGAATAATGCTCAAAGCAATTCCAATGGTAATATTCTGTTTGATGATTGTTCTGCAGGTTATTACACTATTCAATATCCAAACAGTCCAACATGCTTTTCTTCTGTAAGAAATCCCTCAACTATTGATTTGGTCTTAACTTTGTAGCCAATTGGTTACCCATGTTGACTTCGGTTCTGATCACCTTCCAGTAACTTTTGAAATATCCCAAGAATTTCTAATCCCAACAGCTCTACTTTCAATTACCATAAAGCTGATTGAGAGCAATATCGAACATTTATGGAATATAACTTTGATCCAAACATTCCTTTGCAAACCAAAAATGATGTTAATTATGCTCTTGAATCTTTGACTACTTCTATAGTTGAATCCTTACCTCAGTACCAAAATTCGATTCAATTATAATAGACAACGATCTTCAGCTCTTGATCCGTCTTAAAAATGTCCGTAGGAGACAATATCAAAGAACACGCAATTTTGCCATGAAAGCTATCTGGCGGGATTTACAAAAACAAATTTAAAAGCGATTCTTTTCCCTGAGGATCAAAACTTTTGAGTTCCAAACCCTTCTGGAAAAACCTCAAAAGCCTATTTCAGCGCTTGAAGAAGGTGGTAAAATTTTGATCACAAATTTGGAAAAAGCTCAGAAACTTGCTATGCAATTCGAGAGTTCCCATAATTTTAGTTTCGGTCTTACTAGTCCTATTGAGAATCAAGTTCCTCGGGATTATCTGAATATTTTCTCTCGGGAAAATATTTTTGATGATTCCTGGGGGACTGATTTGGACGAAGTAAGGTCTATAACTAAAAAGTTTCATTATATGAAAGCTCCAGATGATGATGGAATTTTCTATATCCTCATCAAAAAACTCCCAGAGAGTACCTTGTCTTTCTTGGTAAAATTATTTAACAGATGTTTCCACTTTCCTGATAAATGGAAAAATGCTAAAGTTGTTCCAATTTTGAAGCCGGATAAAAATCCAGCTGAAGAAGCTTCTAGCTACCGTCCAATAAGTTTGCTTTCTTCAATAAGTAAACTTTTTGAAACGATGATTTTAAATAGAATCGCACATCAATACGAACCCCGATTTTTGCAGATGAGCAGTTTGGAGTTCGCCATGGGCAGTCTATTACTCATCAACTCTTAAGAGTTACCAATTCAATTCGTTCAAACAAATCCGAAGGCCACTCAACTGGAGTTGCTCTTATAGACATAGAAAAAGCATTCGACAGTGTTTGGCATGAAGGTTTGATTGCTTAATTGAAAAAGTTTAATTTCCACTTTATATTATGAAATCAGTTCAAAATTATTTAACTGACAGAACTCTGCAGGTAAATTATCATAATTCCAAATCTAATCGACTACCTGTTAGAGCAGGAGTTCCTCAGGGTAGCATTCTTGGGTCTATATTGTATAAAATTTTCACTTCGGTCCTCTCTGATTTGCCTCAAGGTTACCACAAATCTTTGTTCGCTGATGACACAGGCATTTCCGCTAAAGGAAGAAGTCTTCGTGTTAGCAGACTGCAGAAAAGTTTAGATATTTTCTCTTCTTATTTACAAAAATGGAAGATTTCTCCCAACGCTTCCAAAACTCAACTTATAATATTTCCACATAAGCCTAGAGCTTCCTTTTTGAAACCTAGTAGTAGTCACATAGTCACTATGAACGGAGTTCTAATGTCCTGGTCAAACCAAGGGAAATATCTTGGATTAGTTCTTGACCAAAAATTAACTTTTAAAGATCACATTGAGGGCCAAATGCCAAATGTAACAAATATATAAAATTTCTGTATCCTCTTATAAACAGAATATCCAAACTTTGCCTGATGAATAAACTTTAGCGGTTTAACCGCCATTCGTGGGGCGGCATCTGTCGGTTAATATGGTGGTAAGCAGCTTATTCAATTATCCCGTTGAAGCTTTATTTCACCGTCGATTCCAACGCTTTACAGCTCTTCCTTTCTAGTCCACGTCCGCTTATCGCGCGATCTTCGCGTTCACTCGCCAGTTTCAACGACAAATCTTGGTGAATGCGAACCATAAGCTCACCTCAGTTCATTCATGCTTGAAATTGATAAGCCTGTCATTGAAGCGATCGCACATTCTGTGCAAAACAAGGCCTTCCTATCGCGTTACTAAAAAAATGGATCAGCTGGTCCGATACGTTTCGATCAGAATTCAGCGCATAGCAAGCATTTGTGAGTGGAATCATGCTTGTTACAGTCGGTTTGCTGTTGTCGGCAATCGTTGCCCTGTACTTTTACCTTACGTGGAATTTTGACTATTGGAAGAAGCGAAATGTTCCGGGACCGGATCCACTGCCCTTGGTGGGAAATTTCCCTGCCTTTTTTCGCCGGAATCGACCGGTGATGGAGGAGAAGTACCAGATCTATAGGTAATGGCGTGATCATAAATCAATTGGTGATCTTGATTTCTGTGTGTGCTCGTTGTTGTTGTTGTTGTTTCAGGGACTATGGATCAAAGTACAACTTTGTAGGGATTTTCACAAACCGATCACCACAGATCTTCATCACTTCGCCGGGTTTGGCGAGGGATATTTTGGTGAAATATTTCAAGAACTTCCACGACAATGAAATCGGATTGATTACCAACAAGGAACTGGACCCGTTGTTCGGGAGGAACCCGTTTGTGCTGAATGGAGCTGCATGGAAAGCGAAACGGGCGGAGATGACTCCCGCGTTCACTGCCTCCAGAGTAAGTGCGGCAAAGCGAAATCTGGGGTGACATCTGTTTATAAACTTCCTGTAATTTCTGTAGATTAAAGCCCTTTACTTCAATGTGGAAGATGTTTGTGCCACGATGACCAAGTACATTAAGGAACGTGCAGGATCCTCGATCGAAATGAAGGAACTGGGTGATAGGTTTACCACGGATGTCGTCTCTAGTTGTATCTTTGGCGCCGATGCACAGTCCTTCATCCACGACGATGCTGAAATTCGTGAAATGGGAAGTAAGCTGATGGATTCCTCGTTTTTGTTCGTTCTGAAGATGTCAGTTATGACAGTTCTGCCAAGCGTAGCAAAACTCTTCAACATTAGTTTAGTTTCGAGGCCCCGCGAAATGTTCTTCATAAAACTGATGTCTGAAGCGATCCGTCACCGGGAGGCTAGTTCGGAGAAGCGTTTGGATTACCTGGATTACTTGAGCACACTGAAGAGGCAGAAGCACATCTCTGAACTGGATATGGCTGCCAACGGAGTGACGTTCTTTCTCGACGGAAATGAAACTTCCAGTGCTACGCTCACGCTAACTCTGTACGAGGTGGCCAAGCAACCTGACATTCAGAAACGACTTCGGGAGGAACTACTGAAGGCAAGCAACGAAGATGGCACCATCGCATGCGATGCCCTATCGGAACTTCCGTACTTGGAGCAGGTCTTCAGTGAAAGCTTGCGCCTATGGCCACCGGTGACCTTCATGTCCAAGGTCTGTACCGATCGTATCGAGCTGGAGCTGACTGCCAACCGGAGGGTACCGATAGAACGTGGAACCTGCGCCATCATCAGCAATTGGTCGCTGCATCGCGATCCGACCTACTACGAAGATCCTTTGACGTTCAATCCGGATCGATTCGCTCCGGAAAAGGGTGGCATCTATCCGTACCGGGAGAAAGGATGCTACATGCCATTCGGAGATGGACCGCGGCAATGTTTGGGAATGCGATTTGGTCGGATGCAAGTCAAGCGCGGTATCTTTGAGATTATCCGGAACTTTGAAATCTCGGTTGACTCCCAGACCAGAAATCCTCTGAGGATTGTTTCGTCTCCAGCGATTTCACTGGGATTGAGCGGGGTTTGGTTGAATTTTAAGCCTATTGGAAATAAGTTATATTAATCGAGTAAAGTACAAGATGTCCTTTCAATTGAAGCTCAAACTAACTGTATATAAAATTTATTTACACATCACCTTCGAGCAGAAAATAGCACAACCCTTCAGTTTCAGTTTCAGCACAATCAAACAATTTCCTTTCTTTTGATGGTCCTTCATGCAGGCTTCCCAATCTGGAGAATGGTAATGAGAAGCGCTACCATTTACAGCCGACCGACGACCCAATCTTAGGGAGACCTGGGTAGACTGGCGCGCCGAGTGATATCATTGGTGGCTGAGGAGTTTTTATTCATCAGCACAATGTTCAACGGGAATTTGGTCGGTGGTTTCAGAAAATGAACTTTTCAATCAAGTCAACAAATTGTATAGGCGGACGGTAACTTAGATGAATCTACAGCTGTTCTTAATAACGCTTTGAAAACGTGTTTCAATCAACTAGTTGAGCAAAAGTTTGTTTCTTTGAAAAACTCGAACAGCTGGTACAATTTGGATCTTTTGCGTCTTAAACGGAAAAGGGACAAATGGTACAAAAAGTTTTGTAGATCTAATAATGACAATCATTGGACTAGGTACACAATCGCGCGTAATAAGTATTCACAATCGATAAAGAAAACTCGTTTTGAATATGTTCAAAGGAAGATTGATCAGCATCAAAACAACAGCAAAGAGTTATGGAAAATTTTGAAATCTTTATTAAAACCTAGTAATTGCACACCGCGGTCCATAACCTTTAATGGCACATTACAACAGTCAGAACAAGTAATTGCATCTAAGTTTAATGATTATTTCGTAGACAGTGTTTCATTGATTAATCAATCTATTGAATTGGTCGATGAACCTGACGAAATAAAACAGCCAGTTAATAGTAGTTGCAGATTTGAAGTTTCTCACCCAATTACTTTAGATGAACTTAGAGTGATTTGTTTTTCATTAGGAAAATCGGCTGGAGTAGATAATGTTAATGCTAGAGTTATTCAAGATTGCTTTCATGTCATTGGCCACATCTTTCTGGACCTTATTAATAAATCATTGCAGAATGGACATGTACCACAAATTTGGAAGGAATCCTTAGTGGTTCCTATTCAAAAAGTTGCTGGAACGATTAAAGCCGAAGAGTTTCGTCCCATCAACATGTTGCACACATTACAGAAAATCTTAGAACTTGTTGTTAAAGGCCAGCTGTTGGAGTATTTGAATAGCAACTCTTTGTTGATACCAGAACAATCGGGATATCGGGAAGGGCATCCTTGTGAAACTGCATTGAATTTGGTGTTAGCAAAGTGGAAAGACAACTTGGAGCGTAAAGATACGATTGTTGCTGTTTTTTGGATCTGAAACGCGCTTTTGAAACAATTTCTATGCCCTTACTGTTAAGTACAATCAAGCGCTTTGGAATTAAGAGTACTGCATATAAATGGTTTGAAAGCTATTTGTCTGACAGAACTCAACGGACTGTTTTTAATGATTCTGTTTCCAGTCCCGTGGGGAACAACCTTGGAGTGCCCCAGGGAAGTGTATTAGGGCCCCTTTTATTTATTATGTATATTAATGACTTGCGACGTGTTTTACGGTTTTGCGACATTAATCTTTTTGCAGATCTAAGTAGATGGTTGAAGTGTAAGCAGTTGAAATTGAATACAAGTAAAACTAAATTTATGGTGATTTCGCGGAATCGACTAAATGAGAACGTCTCTGTTGTAATTGATGATGAGACTATTGATCGCGTTCAGGAGATTAAATATCTTGGCGTGATTATTGATGACAAACTTAAGTTCAACTCTCACATTGACAATGTCATCAAGAAAATTGCCAAGAAGTATGGAATTCTATGTCGATTGAAAAACGATTTAACTATTGCCAGTAAAATACATCTATACAAATCAATCATCTCCCCTCATCTAGACTTTTGCCCATCCATTTTATTTCTGTCCAATGCAACACAAATATCGAGTTTACAGCGCTTGCATAATAAACTAATGCGTTTGATTTTGAGATGTAATAGATTCACTTCCTCTACTTTGATGCTAGACGCCTTACAATGGTTGTCGGTGAAGCAAAGAATTGTATATTTGACTATGGTGTTCATTTTTAAAGTAGTTAACGGTTTGCTGCCTCGATATTTGTGTGATCGAATTGAAAGAGGAAGTGACTTTCATAGATATAATACTAGAAAAGCGGATGAAATAAGAACACCACATTTCTTGACTTTTGCTTCACAGAATTCATTATTTTTTAAATAAATGTTTTCAATTCGATGCCTAGACACATTAAACGTTCAACAACATTAGTAGAATTTAATAGACATTGCATTTCTCACGTTAAAACTGTCTTTTGAACGGTTATCCAGTGATTTTTTTTTTTATGAATTGACAAATTATGTATCTTGACGAAGTTATTTTTAACGGATTATTTTGTATGGATAGCTGTTATAACGACTTTTTAATAATTATTGTAGCACTGCAAAAACTATTTTGTTCGCCACGATGGTGATGATGGATTTTAGATATATGATTTAATAGTAGTAAAAAAAAAAAGTAGTCTACAAAGGTTTGAGCCTCGTGCGCGTATTATGGATATAGAGGACTGAATTTAACATTTGATAAAAAAAAATGAAATTTTGAAGCTTATTTGGAAGATACCTTGAGTTAGTAGTAAGTTTTCTGGCAAATGTTGGGGGTTCGTGAGCATTCCTGACATTGCTGAAAATTATGATAGCATCAGATTGCGGGGTTACTAGCGCAATAGGATGCTTTGTTGATTGTTCATTAACTCTTGATTGCTTGTAATGCTTATGAATATTTTAGGTGGACAAAAAGGCGAACTAAGAAGTGGACGCCTGAGCTTTTCCACATTTATATTGCTGTAAAGCAACTGTAAACTCTAGATGGAATTTATATCTGTAACTGAAACCAGTTCGATTTTGTTTGCCAACCTGGTTAAAATTTCATATTTAATTATCTTAAAGATAAATCGTCCAGCTCAAACCTTTGTAGGGGTAAGAGGTGGGACCATCATCATCATCATCATAGGCTAGGCAAATAAATGACGAGCATTTCTCTATGTAGCCACAAGTGTTTTCGGAAGCGTAGTAGTATAGGGGAGGAAGGGAAACTGCACTGAGCAGACGGTGTTAAGTGAGCAGGTACTTGTTTCGTCGGGAAAACGATAAATATCACTATTTTCATCATGCGAGCCTAATTGCTACCTTATTTCATGCCAAACGGAATATCAAGTTATGGTCAAACTATGACACCATCCTCAAAATGCGATGAGATTATTATTTTTGCTATGTCGAAATTTAGAAATTTACTATGTCGAAATGTGTAAAGAATAACGGGTGTTCAATAAAAAATTAGAATGATTTCAATACCTTTCTGTAATTAAAATAAATTGCGTATTTTTTTTCTCTTCAAGAAAATTGCTCTCTGGAGTCCCTAAAAATGGGTGGCATGTTTTTTTTCGCTCGGGTGCTGTCAGTTCAATCGAAGATGGCGTCGAAATAGCAAGCACTCCGCGAGCGTGTTGTACGGTTTTACGAAACGCATGGTCATCGTGGAAAAAAGTTTACGGTAGACCACTTTTGAGACGAAAACGTGCCCGTCAGTACAGTTTACTGGATCCTGGCATCCGTGAGCGTGGAGCGGAAGGCGGATAATGACGAAGAAGAAGAAGGAAGCGTTGAAAAAGCTGTCCGACAACAAGGACGGAACGAGTTTGCGTGACGCCGTCCGAAAATATCACTGCTCCCATACCTTGATTCACCGAACCCTCAAGATGGAGGGCATCATCTGTCGGAAGAAGACTCTGTACCGTCACATTGAGGATTTTTTCGGCTCCCTCAGTGCCCTAGTGTACAAAAATAATTGGCGGGCCAAGGATACGAAGCAGTTGACCACGAGGATCCGGAATTGAATCCGGAAGATGGACGTCAGTGCCGTCCAGCGCTCTTGTAAGAGCATCGCGACTAAGTTGCGTCGTACGGCTGATCAGGGCCCCTTCTCCAATATTCATTGACGTTTTTTTGAAGAATAAACATTATGGTTTTAATAAAAAAAAATTCTGAATTTGTTGAAATTTTTTTTTACTAGTTATATGACTGAAAAAAATACTATTTTTTTTGAACACCCGTTAGGACATGATCCAAAGTGTTGTATTGCAACAGACGGACCTGTTTTAAAATTCGCTTGAATTCTTGATTGAATTTTCAGGCAATTCACCTCTGAAAACTCTTAAAAGCCTGCTCAGAATCATCGCTCAGCTTCTGAGACGTGCAGACGTTTTTCTCGATTGCGCTTATCACTAGTGAAGCATTTACGTTTTGGATACCCTTCTATCCGCTGCGCCGCGTCGCGTGCAAAAGTGTTTCGCGATGAGGCGAGAAAACACTTTTAAGATTGACTATTCGCAGTTCTCCGTCAAGCCGTCGGTCGAAAAACTCTATGGTTTTTGTCGTTCGGTTCTCGGTCTAAATAGAGAAGACATTAAAAGACTTCAGTGCCACAGAGGTGGAGCATGTGCCTTCGTCAAAGTCAGTGGCTTGACGCTGGCACAAAAAGTCGTTGACGAACATGACGGGAAGCATGAAGTGGAGTGTGAGGGGAAGAAACACAAGCTTCGGATCACGTTGGAAGATGGTAGTGTTGAAGTGCGGGTTTACGACCTTCCCGAATATGTGTCTGAAGAGAAAATCTTTAGTTTCCTAAGTGCGTTCGGGGAAGTGATCTCAGTTCACGAGGTATCGTGGGGTGAGAGTAACGAATGTGAAAGCATACCGCTCGGCATATGGTCTGCTCGTATGCTAGTGAAGCGGAACATTGACTCGTGGGTCACCGTCGATGGAGAGCAAGCGTTCGTTGTTTACAAGGGACAGCTGCAATCCTGCCGCCACTGCAAAGAGCAAGCGCACACTGGCATATCATGTGTCCAGAACAAAAAGCTACTGTACCAGAAAAGCTACGCGAATGTCACGAAGCAAACTGGACAGGCCAATAGGTCAACAGCCGGTCAGCAACCCAAAAAAGCTG